GCCGGCGGCGCTGGGCGCGGGCGGCGGTTCCGAGGCGCTGGATCCCGCCGGCCCCGGTTAATTTCCGGGGTGCTCCTGCGGAGTGCTCCATGGGAGCGAGCAAGCGCTGGCATGAGCTCTTGGAAAAGCTTCGGGAAATGTAGGAACCGGGGGCAGAACCCCCGTTTTCACGCGCCTGCCCCCTGGCCGGGGGATGCCCGAGCTCCCGATGTCGCCTCCGCGGGTGCAGCGGTGCAGCGGGACGCGCGCCGGTGTGGACGGCAGAGCTGGCTGCCCGCTCCGGGCGCAGCGGGGCGGCAGGGGAGCAGTGTGCAGGAAAGGTGACTCTCGCCCGAGCYCGGGTGACGGTGCAGCCCGGTCGGCGTCGCGCAGAGGGGGCTTGTGCTGCCAACAAGCCGCTGCGCCCGGCTCCCGTCGCTGGCGGTAGCACGTCCTGTGTTGTCCGTTTGCTTGATGAAAACAGCACGTCTTTGTATGGCCCTGTGAGTCCGTAGCTCCGTTACACGCGGAGCCACGCGCTGATTCGCGTGTGYGTTGGGAAGAGAGCCCCACGTGCGCCCGAGATGCGCCCCGCGGCCGCACCAGCCCGGCCCGGGGGGCTGCGCCGGTGGGACGGCACCGCCTGGCACGGCCGCGGGGCTGCCCCCCTTGCAGGTYGTGCTCCCGCCGGGTAGTCATTGGAGCTCGGAGGACGTGACCCAGAAACGCCGTGGGGCTTTGTGTCCGCAAAATGCAAGATCTGCCTAAAAATTAACGTTATTTCTAGCAGCACTTAACGTGTAACGGGTATTATTTATGTTTCTCTTTTGCATTTTGCGTTTTCATGTTAAGTATTATAGGCAGGGTGTGAATGCTAATTTGAAGTCATTTGTTCGGCGGTAAGAGGCCCTTCAAATGACTTGTCGTTTAACCCAAGCACTGGGTAGAAGTTGTAGTCTTCGCTGGGCAGCAGCAGGACGGCTGTGCCCCGGTAGCTGTGGCTTTTCCTCCTGAGCAGTCGGCTCCGTGTCGACGGGAACAGCCGAGGCCGGAGGCAGCGCGATGGCTGCCCACTCCGGGCACATCCCCTTGGGCCTCCTTCATTGCGGGGTAACCTGCCCAGGCAGCTGGGCCGGGGTACGTCCGTGCCTGCTGCAGGGGGATCCGTGGGGCAGGGGAAGGGCATCCAAGTAGCTCCGGCCTGGAAGCGGCCTAGCGGCCACTCTCTGCTGCATTGACTGAGCTTAACTGTCCTCGCCGGGCTTCGTGCAGTGTAGGCTGAGCTTATGCTTAAGCTGAGATCCTGGAATTGGTGGTTTTCTGCTGTTTTGACTGAAGCCAGAGAGTAAAATGCAATGACGTAAAAGCCTGTCATCAATTTTTGCTTTCTCTGTCCTGTGTTCAGCAAGCTAAAGCAAAGCAGAGGGAGCTACTGGGCCCAGAGCATCCTCTGGGCATAGGAGTGCAGCCAACCTGAACCTTCAGGTTGCTTGAGAAGACAGGAGAAATCACAGCTTCCCTAGGGAGAGCTCCGTATTTCCCAGGATGTGCCGACAACCGGAGCGGAGTTTCCTGTTGCGCCCTTGGAGCTGCAGTGCAGCAGGTGACGTGTGGCCGTGGGGACGGGCAGTGCCCGAGGAAGCTCAGGCACCACCAGCCACCCCAAGGGAGAGGGGCAGGAGCAGAACAAGCCAAAACAGCCATTGGGGAGGAGGAAGAAGCTGCAGCAGCAGGATTTGTCTGCAAAATATAATGGGAGTCACTGCTTAGGAACCTTAGCAGGCAAAGGAAGACATGGAAGACCCGGCATTAATACCCTCTAGGCAGCGGAAGGCTGGAACAGGAGGAARGGCAAGGCCCTTGGTGGTGGCGTTGCTCCTAGCCCCGTGAATGGGCCGTGTGTGAAGTTCAGCTGCAAGTTCTGCAGTAAGAGCTGAAAGGAACGGCAGCTAAAGGGCTGCAGTGTTCAGATGTTACAGTGAATGGAAACTATGGGTGAATAAAGGGAAAATGAAGTAGTGTGCGCTTTATGTAGAAGGGGAAAGAAAAAGAGACAATGAAACATCCGYGTGACCTGGTGGGAAGGCAGGAGCGCCGTTCCATCGGCAGAGGAACGGACGGCTGTAGCTGGAGGTGCAGGGAGGCAGCAGTGCGAGGCACGTCCGCGCTTTCTGCAGCGGCTGCCCGGATCGCTGGGGTCCCTCCAGGGTGGCRCAGAACAGGGGCAGCACGCTCGGCGCTGCGGTTACCCTGCGCCCCGAGCCTCTGTTTGAAAGGGCGACAAAATGAACACGCAGAGATGGGCTCAGCGGATTTTTTATGGAGACAGGGYTCGCTTGTCCTCGCTGCTGCAGCAGTGACCACAGCAAGGAACACTGCGTTTGCCAGCCGGGGAGTTTTTTACGTCGTCTTCAAAAGCTGCATCATGCAACAGCTTTGAACGTGCAAGTTTTTCTTGTTTTCTGCAGTAGCAGTGTAGCTGTATCCTAGGCTAACCCTTAAAATCTCAAAGAGCTGTCGTGACAACAATGACTTCAGGCTTTTTCAGGATAGACAGAGGTGGTAGTTTTTTCCCCACTGCTTCATCAACACCTATTTTAATACATGCCAAGTATCCTGTATCTGATAAAGCTCCCTGTGCAAGTGTCAGATTTAAAAATCTAAAATGCCTTACAGTATTTCATGTGCTTGTCTGCAAAGCTCCCCCTAAGTGATACAGAAGAAATCTAGACTGCAGGKGGGGGAAGAAATACAGAGCAAGGGAGTGACTTGTTCACGCTTGTAGAGGGGGGTCTATAACAGGAGAAGATGGAACCAGATCCTGGGTTAGGCTGTGTGAGTGCAAAGGTGTGTCTGATAGGAAAGGTGCTTTTTTTCCTATAAAAGGCAATATTCAGAATATTCTGTAGACTGGGATGGTTCTGCCAACATCTTACTAATACTTAAAAAGAAAACCCTCTCTTCTGCTTCTCTGGAAAATATATTCCTCATGCCGTGAAGGCAGTGTAGTTTCTAAAGTAGATGCTAAAGGTAATACTAATTTTATAGACAGACCTTTCTCCTCTATTATTTTTTCCTTTTTGAGGTTGATACAGGTTGAGAATTTCACTTCCCTTAACCCATGTGTTTGCTGTTTCGAGTCCCAAGTCAGCATCAAAACTGGAGAGAAGACCACGGAAGGTCTTATCTCGGCAGGCTGCATCTCTGCTCAGAGGACCTGCAGCTCCTGACATCCCCATTTGTTGCTATCCACAACCCAGCGTGATCCCTGCTGCAAGACTGCCCTGTGCTTCTGGTCCTCATTCCAAATAGACAGCAATGCCACAAAAATAGCGTGTTTTCTCGCTTTCAGGATTGATATTTCTCTTCTTGCATAGACTGTGTTCATTTAGTCTATCAGGACTGTCGGCTCCTGTTCATTTAGTCTATTGGGAAACTGTAAGAAGTAACAGAATTCCTCCAAGGCTCTTGCTGCTCTGACAGCAGTTGGGAGGTTATGGTGGTGGTTGTTTTCTGGTGGTTTCAATGACAGATTTCTGAACTAGTTCAGAACTTTGCAGATTTCTGGTCAAAGCTTATTAAGATCACTAAGCTTGGGATTAGACCATTAGTCTTTACTGCCCTTTGGATTTATATCCTCTTCCTAGGTGGCAAAGGAAGCCCTGGTCTGTCCTGCTTCAGAGTTCCTGTACCTTGGACAGTAACTTCGTCGTCTCTGTCCTCCTTTGCTCAGGCTGGTAGGCCTTACAGGTGGTGGTGCAATCGTTTATCAAAGATCTCCATTCCTTTGCATTGCAGTTTATTCCTTTCCATTGATTAAGCAGAGCTGATACAGACATCAGCCAGGAGAGCTGTCGCCGTCACTGTTGAGACCTTGTGTGCCACTAACAGTAGGGTAGGAAATAGTTCAGATACATTCCTTGGAAAGGCACAACTGCGGTTAAATCTGCAACGCTAACGAAGTGCTTCCAATAAAAACCATGAAAATCTCTCACCTCTTAAGTGTGTATTTTCACTCAGCTCTTGGTCATGGCCCCATCAAAATAATGAAATAACCATATAAAATGTAAACAGTTGTTTAAACCGTGGATGTAGCTCAGAGTTGTAATGTAGTCACTTGCTGCTCTTACATATAGAAAATATTGTAACGGGGGTGATTGCTGGGTTTTGTGTCCCCCACCCCCTCAACAGATTTCCAAACTTGTACAATCAGCCTCAAAAAAAAAAAAAAAAAGGTTTAAACCTGGTGATATTTTAAAGTGATGTCRTTGCTTTACGCCACTTTTGCTCGAAGTGGGAGCTGCAAGTCTGGTGGGACCACCGAAGGCTTCTGGGGTACCCGAGGTTTTGTGAGCGCCGGCTGGCAGCACGAGGGCAGCTGCCCCGCGCGTCCCCACGCGCAGCCCAGTCCCTTTGCCCTGTGGCACTTGCCTTTGCATCCTCAGGTGGCTGCTCAGAACAGCCAGCAGGTCCCTGTGCCTCCGCCTCCCCTCTCGCTTTTGCCGTTTTAGCCAGGGAGAAGTAGTTTTCAACTCAATCCAAAAAATATTCCAGTGGAAATAAAGCCTGCAGTGTATAAAGCCTGCTTTATTTCCCCTGGAAAAAAAAAGAATAGGCTTCTTTTCTTTTTTAGCTGCCTTTTCACAGTCCAGTTAATTRTGTCCCGTTGTCCCTCCATGCTTCTGTAAATTGGGTTGAAAACTGCTGTGCTGATGGATATCTGGATCAATCTGCGGGAGGCTGCCAGAAATTCTCAGCATAGCTGGGTTATTTCATTCCCTTCCTGTTGATCAGATAAAGCTTTCCAGGCCTTGCAGAAACCATTAGGAGATGTATACTGAATATTGATATTTCCTTGTTATTCCTGCTAGAACTTGCTTTGGCAAGTTTTGACAGGCTTGTTCTAGATTGGAGCTGTAGGAAAGTGTGGCAGGAGCAGCATTGGTTCATAGCCTGTTAATTAGAAAACAGCACATGTTCTCCCATCTCTACTGCAAAGGGAGATTGAATATGTGATGTTATAATCAGTTATGCTTTACACWTAGAGAAAATAGAAATGGAATTCAAAATGGTCTCAAAATTTTTCTATATCCCCAAGTTTTTTTTAAAGACATATCTATCCGTCTTATCTTGTTTAGCTGMCTCTAGTATAACCAGACTGGTAATGTATGTTTATTTCCTCTTGATAAGCAGTATTAAAGTTAACTTTTTACTCTTGTCAGCTAGTAACATACTGTCAGCAAACTGTAGTTCTGAGCATGAGAATTTTTCCAAAGTATCTCTGCAAAGGCTGCAAGAAGTAAACTGAAACCCCAGAAAAGTTGCTGTGTTTGTTCGTGGCCTCGTTCTTCTGTTCAGATTGTTTTAATATAGCTGCCAAAATGTGAGGTTTGTTGAGTTTATATGCCAAAATGTAAGCTCTTCCTGCAGTTGAATGCTAATAGASCTCGAAGAGAGGAAATGGTTGCAAAGCCTAAACAGTAGCACGTTGCTTTGCAGGTCATGCCCGTGTGCTTGACAGTAGTGTGAGTAACTGCATGGAAGTGGGATGGAGTTAAGCTTGGTCGGAGTTTTATAACATCCAAACCACAGATACCCTGCAGCTACCAGGAGAATGAAGGTCCAGCTCATTTAGTAGCTGATTCTTGATATTTTCTTCAGGACTTGCTAGGCAGGTGGTTTTAAAAAAAATGTTTGACGTAGCTCATGTCAGAAAACAGGGCATTTATATCATGTATAAAAGCATGTTTTAAGTGTTCATTACATTCATTACAGTGGGAAATGAGTTATAATTTACTTATATTACAGTGGGAAATGAGTTATAATTTACTTATATCCCTCATGTGTATGTTATGTATTTTTTGGCTGTGCTTGCAGTGCCAAATGCCCTCCAGATACAAAAGAAACGGGCTTGACTGATGTCTCCTTAAGACCCACGCTCTTATGGTCACTGTAGCCCATACTTGTGTGGTGGCCTCTCCTTTGGCTTTACCCTGCATCTCAGCTCTTTGTCCTTGGTGTTTACATACACGGAGCAGGAGGGGTGACATATTCCAGCTGTTAGGAATTATCTGTTATAACTTATCTTCACCTGCTCTGTGCTTTAAAGGCAGATCAGCCAGATGAAAATATTCCCGGCCCTCCCACCTCCCTGGCTCCTTATTGTGTGTGTGGAGGTATTTGCTTATGTGAGAATAGCAGGTCAGGCACTGCAAACAAACAGATGTTTTTATATATAACAAGGAATTTTAAAAAATTACCAAGCCACAGAGACGTATTTCCCAAATAATGACTGGTGAATAAATGGTGTTTGTGTACTGCTTGCTGCATCCTCATTCTGCCTCCTATAGATGACTCTTGAGCAAGTATTGAGTAACAAAAGCTCTTTAGCAACAAATCTGTCCTGCAGCTGGAAGCCTGAGCTGGAGGCCTTGGCTGCATCCGCATCCCTGCCTCCTGCACGTGGAAATTCGCCCAGAACATGGAGCGGGGTGCACGGGAGCTCCTGAGGCCTCGCTGAGCAGCCGGACTCCGGCGCCAGTCGCGCCTGCGGGAACTTGCTAGTCGGGAGGAAAAGCACAGCTTTAATCACTAGGTGTTCGCCTAGGTATCAGTCCCTGCTAATACTTAAGTGTGATGCCTTTTGTCTGTTTAAAGCCTCTGTTAAATAGGAGGTGTTTTTTTCATGTGAGCTTTTCCCTGCTTTGCTTTGGAAAACAAAAGCGAGCCTTTTAATGTAAGTAAAGCTTACAGAGTCCAGGTAAAAATACCCTGTCTATATTCAGGACTATTCCAACTTGTTACTGCTTCTAAACATCCTTGTCAGGCACGAGTTTTTAATCTGGTTTATTTTATGCTGGCAAATCAGCGTAATTTCTAATAAGATTATGAAGTGATTTAATGAAGTTTGATTTGTTAACTTGTTTGTGTCGGGGATGTGGGGGCAGAAATGAGTCTCTAAAACATCATTAAACTGGATAAATCTGTGAATAACTAAGTGTCCTCATGGAAATAATGAAAAACTGGGGAAATTATATGGACTTATGCTAGCAGACTGAATGGGTCATAGCAGTTTCTGAAAAACACAGAGCACCTTTCTCTAAATATCAGGAGTCATGAAGTGAAATTATAGCTGTGGCTAAAGCAGAAAATAAATTACAACACAGTCGTTGAATTTCATGAATGAAGAGAAGAAGGTGCCACCCCCGCCTCCCTTCAAGTAGATGAGATGCGTTTGTGCACATTTTTAGTCCTGATTTTCTGTTCTGCATGTTACCTGTGTAACATACAGAYGCTGGTGTGTGTAAACAGGAATGCAGGCAACTTTTCCAGCTGCAGAAAACACCTTGACCTGTCTTGCCGGACAGCGTACTGAATRTTAAAAGCAGAAATATAGGAAAGTGCCTTAATTCTTTTATTATTCACTGTTATGTTAGATAAAGAGAATTCTGTGATTAGCAGGTGGTGCCCAGGTGCTTGGTTTCTCTGTGCTGGGCAGCAGCAGCAGCAGCTCTGCTCCCTGGGGCCTTGCCTCTCCCTGGGCAGTACCAGCCTCTTTATGGATGCAGCGACCTGTCTCGCGTGTCACCTAGGCCAGCGTGCACAGAGGCATCCCTGCCGTGCCTGGATTTCATTATCCTGCTCGATAATGACCTTAACCTGTGGCTGCGAGAGGCTAATTGTCCTCCTAGGAGTTTGATCCTCTTGAAATAACCAGAAGCCAGGCTACCAAATCCTTTGCTGCCTAGACGGGGGCAGCAGCATCTCCACTTAGGTCAGCGTAACTCGTTACAGCAAAGGGGAGCTCTTGCCTTGCTCTTCGTCATAAATATTTTGAGAAATGGCAATATTTATTAAAAGTTTTGGATATTTTCATGATCTTCTCAGCATGCTTCCTGCAGAGTTTAACCATTTTGTCTGGGCGAAGATGTCAATTTTGAACAATTGAGCACAAAGATAGCTACAGCACGAAGTGCTCTTGCAGAAGATAGAGKTAATAGTGCATATCCATGACCTCCCTGTCTCTCAATTAAAATAAAGAAATGCATTATATTTTTTCCACAGTGTCTCCCAAAAATATGAACCGTTTGGACATGCTCAAATAAGGAGAGGGGAGACTCTTCTGTTTAGGCACATGGCATACAGCGTGTCTGGTCRCAGGACTGCTGCATCCAGTTTTCTAGAAGAAGGTGAATAGTCTTTAAGTATGAAGATTGGCTTTCAAGCATTTAGAGCACTGTGTAAATACACATTTTGGCTTTATTTATTTATTTTTAAGAAGTGACCTTGGAAGAAGTTGCTAGGTGTGTAAAGAGCTGCTGCAAAGCTGCCTAGCTTTCCAGCAGCYCTTCACACTCAACGCTTGGAACCAGGTGTGTTGTAACATCCAGAGTGGGGCAACTTTGCAACACAGGCTAGTTGATCTCTTGCCAGAGTTTTATGGGCACTGTTCTTATTCCTCCCTACTCCCAGTTGCACAAAAAGCCTGGAATTACAGTGAGCTTTGTGTGTCCCTGGAGCAGCGTGGCCTCAGAGATGGACATTACCCTCCAGGTAGACAAGGTTCCCAGAGAGGAAGCAGAGGTTGCAGAGTAAAAGACTTAAGAGGGATAAAAAGCCAGAGGAAGAGGTGAGGGTGGGATACAGCTGTCACGTAGGCATGCTCCAGAGAGGACTGGGAATTCCTGAGACGATGTCTGTGCTGGTGGTTTCCTCAGCAGTTCCTCCCACTGCACCTCCTCAGTGGGTTGGGTTTGCAGTTCTGCTCCAAAGCTCCRTGGGTAGAGGCAGAGGGAAATGTTTCTGGCTTGTTAAACTTCCAGTGTCTGTAGGAGAGACCTTTTCCTTCCTGAGGCCTGATCCCGAGAACAGGGATCTTGACAGCTCTGTCAGATCTTCAGCTCTCTCCCACATGCCAGYGTCCATTTCTTGCTTCAGTCCCTACTGGGGCTGTTCCTCTTGGCACCTACCTAATCTCCATGTTCTTCCTGAAACACTTGTTGCCTTTCCTGCCCAGGGGTGGAGGTGGCCAGCTCATGGATTTAATGTGTAATTAAGCATGTCTTAAAAGCGCTCGGAGATTCTTCTGAGTAAGAAGTGTTCTGATAAGCATGAGAGTCTACTTTCCAAATCCATTATTTCTTGATTATTTATCTTTATTTTTTTCCTTTGTCTTTTTCCTGCAATTTGGAGTTTTCCACATGATCCTGTGAAAGGAGCTCRGCCTTTCTCGCCAAGCAGTGAAACGCTTCTTTTCTGATCCTTTCTCAGATGCAAGTATGGACATTATAGCCTATGATGATTTCTCCAGTCCACCGCTCCAGAGACATTGAAAGGAAGCCCGAGTACCTGCAGCCCGAGCAGTGCGTCCCGCCTCCGAGCCGCGCTTCCCTGGGAACGATGTGGTTTATCCGAGATGGCTGTGGCATCGCGTGCGCCGTCGTCACCTGGATGCTCGTGTTTTACGCCGACTTCGTGGTCCTCCTCGTCATGCTGGTTCCATCGCGGGATTACGTTTATAGCGCGATCAACGGCACCCTCTTCAACACCTTGGCTTTCCTCGCTTTGGCTTCCCATTTCCGTGCTATGCTGACGGATCCCGTAAGTATATCCCTCTTGGTATGTCTTGGCAAGAGCTGAGGGGTGATTTTTTTTTGTCTGCTACACGTTGGGTAACTCCTTGGTTCARTGAGTGGCAGATTTAAATAATATTTGTGTGTCAGTCTTCCGAGTGAGGCCGCTGACGGGCTGTGCTAATTTGTCATCCCACTCAAGGCAGGTGTGAGGTTGGGGACCAAGCTTTGGATCCCATTGTGTGAACAGCTCTTCACGCTGAAGAAGGAGTGTGTTTCTCTCTGACGGTGTTTTATCACCGGTGGCAGATCTGTGTTTGGGGCTTGTCATGTCTTGACAAACGGGAAAGCTAGAAAAACTGGTCTTGGTTGTCAGCCTTGGCAAACGTTGCTTCAGCAGAACGGGACAGAGCATTTGTTGGTTTGCAAAGCCTTGTGGCATCTCTCAAACAGATGACATCACTGTGCTTATCAAGCYATGTTAGAACAAATATTGCGTGGGCCTGTTTTCACTTAATGCCTTTACCAAAGGGAGGTTGTGTTTCTAGGTCTGCGGTGAGTGCCAGGCTCCTCAATGGGCGACCTGAAAGCTCCTAGGCAGGAAGGAAGCATGAGGGTTGTGAGACTCCCCCCACGCTCAGCTTTGCGTCTCCGTAGGATGTTTTCATGAGAGATCAGGCCTGTTGCCTCCGCCCCTTTCAGCTAGCAAGGATTCCATGCTTTCCTCCCATGCTGCTCCTGAATGCCCTGTGATGGATTCTTTTGCGTATCCGCCTCTGGAAGGTGGATCCATCTCCTCTAGTCGGTGGGAGAGGAAACCAGCTCAGCCTCCCCCCCTCCTTTCCCCTCGACTCTGCTGCTTGCTCTTGGGAGTGGCAGAGAGTCTCTGCTGCTCAAAATATTCCTTCCAAGTAACGTTTTCTACTTGGAGCATCCTTACAGGCCATCAAAACATCAGTGCAGTCATCATTGCTTAGCTTCCYACTCTCCCAGAAGCCACAGTGCTGCACAAGTGTCTTGATTTGGAGTAGTTTCCCTCTATATATAAAGCAGAGACTTTCTCCTTGCGTGCTACTGCTGCTCAGCACAACGGTGAGCAGCAGCTCCGACACTGGTCCTGTTGATGGACCCAGGAACAGGGGATTGCAGCACTTGGCTACAGAGCATATATCCTAAGAGACAGGAAGGCTGTTGATGTTAATTATTATGTTTTTTTATGGCTTTAAGACCTTTGGGTCTCCAGAATTATTTTGCAGATTTAGCCATGACTATTGAAACAGAAGCCACATTCTACAGCTGGCCGTGCCGTTCAGGAGGAACAGATACAACCACAAAGCAGAGTAAAAGCGGGGAGAAGATACTCCAGTTACAAGTGTGTAGTGTTCTTTATGTGTGTGGATGGAGACAGCCAGTAGAGTTTTGTTCTATTCTTTGCAGATTTTTTTTTTTTTAAATAAAGAAGTCAGCTGAACAAAATGAAGGAGGGAAAGATGAGCGGCAAGATGAGCTGCAGAAGTGTGGGCCCCGTGAGTGTGGGATGAAAAGGATGCCGGTACGTGGAGAGCCAGGAACAGAATGTCAAAGAAAGCACTGTTGAGGCCAACAGCAATGGGGTTCTTATTACAGAGAAGTGAAAACCTGAGTCCTTCTGAAGGTGACAGCCTGTGCCAGGCTCTGCAGAATCAGCCTCCTGCGTGTCCTTGCTAAGCGAGTCCCTGGGGTGCCGAGCGTTCCCGTGTGCTGAGGGGAGAGGGCAGCGAGCGGAGCTGTAGCATTTCTGGAAATTGGGATGGGGTCATTTTAAAAATTTTTGGGCCTATTGGGAAGTTCTTACAGGGAAAAAAGCAGAAAACAAAGACTGCTTAAGAGAGTGTTGAAATGCTGGTTTAATGTTCAGTTCTTTTGCTGCTCTTGGGATTGTATAGGTYTGTCTAGAGGAGATGGTTCCTTCAGAAATATGTCTGTAATGCTGCCTGTGTTTATTTTGGAATTAAAACCAGAATCTGTGTAGATGCACTTGTGCCTATATAGCAGCATTAACTTCATAGAGTGCAGTTCATGACTGCTTTTTAAAATTTATTTAAAATGTATTTATTGTGGGTTAATTGCGACTCTAGAACGGCTGGAAACTGTAGACTTGGTACCTTTTGAAAGTTCGTGCTCCTGTAGCAAAAGCGCATTAGCCACTTAAAGATGCATATTTTAAAGTGTAAATTATATAGTTAAGAATATTTTTCTGGTCTTATTTTGGTTAAGAATGTGAATGTTTTCCTAGTCTTATTTTGGGAGAGGGGAAATCCTTGGAAAGTGAGTGCTGTTTGAAAATTAAACCCTCATTTAAATAACAAATACACAGTTGGGAGGATGGCTATAAATACATGAGATGTTTATCAGCTACTCTTAATGCACACAGTGGGGCTTCAAAAGTTGCTGCTTCTACTGGAATGAAATATTTGTGGTCTCCAATTTGTGATAAGAAACACTGGGATGAGAGATTTGTTGATAGATGTCAAGAAAGGGATGAGATTTCTTAAATATTGTAAGGTAATTTTCCCATAGAATTACAAGAGACTGATTCCTTAAGTGAGGATTAATTGCTGCTTTTGATTTAAAAAATGCAAAATTGGGTTTTATTGCCTGATTCCATCCATTAACACCTCAATTTAATATATTTTCTGGATCTTCCTGCCCTAGTGTCAACAGAGCTCCAGGAAGTTTGTGTCTCCGTCTTCTCCCTCCCCTCTCAGAGTTCAGAGTTGGCTCTTTAGTGTCCTCAGCCCTGCTCGTGTGCCCACATTCACCTGGTTGCTTTTTCTCCGCAGGGGGCTGTGCCCAAAGGCAACGCCACGAAGGAGTTCATCGAGAGCCTGCAGCTGAAGCCAGGACAGGTGGTTTACAAGTGCCCCAAATGCTGCAGCATTAAGCCAGACAGAGCCCATCACTGCAGGTAAAGGGTTTTCCGAGCGCCCGCCCCACATCCCACTCGAGCTCAGGTGGGCCTTGATCTAATGGATTATCAAGGTGTGAAACCACAGTGGTTAAATTTAGAGTTCAGCATCCAAATTCTGTTCATGGTAGTGCCACATGCATTTGAGGGGACCTGGAGAAAACTTTTGGGCCTTTGTTTTGTTGGGTTTTTTTTTTTTTTCAAAGTGAAAAATGCTTTATTTGGCAGTCCCTAATTTGCCATAGCACGTTTCATCCTGCAGCCACAACTTGAAAAGGGGATATTAGATACCAGAATATACAGAAATCCATAAAGTATGATCTCTCTCGAAGGACAAGGGTCCTTTCCAGTTATGTTTTTACTCCTTATTCAAGCACCCATTTGTCTAATTGTAGATGCTATTTCAAATTCTAAAGTAAAGTTCCAGTAATACATGCACTTTAAAAAAAAAAAAAAAAAAAAAGTGTTCTTACTTCATGATCTCATTAAGTAATGTAACCGTGTGCCATCAGTATGGCCTTTCCTTTCCTGGTAGGACAGACCTTAGTGGAGAGTTACTGAACTTTTTAGCACTAAAGGCAGTGTGCATAAAACACACACACACAAAAAAAMCCCCAAAACTCTACTTTCTAAAATTCTTTTCTGCCTTTAAAGCAAGTGAACCTTCTTCCCAGCAAGCAGTTAAAGAGTTTGCAGTGGCAGCTCTATTTTGCCTGCTCAAAACCCAGTGCACACTGAGAGAGCTGGTATCGTTGCAGCTGGTTCTCGCAGGGATCTTGTGGGAAGGGGAGTACACGGTGCTGAGCACAACCTTCTGCTGTCTACATTTTTCACATGCCTCTCTGGAGCTCCAGTTTGCCAGTGGTGGTTTTTAGTTTGTTTCTTTTAGTCGAAAGCAGCACTTGGTTAGTCAGCAGGAGCAATGCGATCGTGCCTATCACTTATTAATGCCACTGTAAAATCCCCTCTGACACTTCTTCAATTATGAATGACACTTTGCATCTAAAGTGCTGCCTTGCCAATGACTCACAGGGTAGGTAAATGACAAAGACTCCTTGGCCAAACTCAGACCCTGCTCTCCTTGAACCTCTTTATTTGCTTCCAGATAATTTTATAGACATTAAGATTTGGAAAACTGAGCACTGATGCTGTTGAGAATCTTCGGTTGTTTTTTCTGTGTGGATCTTTCTTTCCTTTGGTGCTGGTCTTTAACGCAGGAAACTGTGCACATGCAGCCTTTACCTACAGCTCTTGCTGGCTGTGCACCTCAGGGAGGCTTCTTGATTCAAATGTCAATCAGCAAATCCCCCGTGCCCAGCAAACTGCTCCTTCCAGGTTTGGGGCAGAGAGGGGAACATTACATGGGCAGCTTCCCATTCTCACCTTCCTTTTCCTCTCCAGCAGCTAATTTTACTGTCTGCCAAAGTGCAGGAGATGGAAATCTGCACTCAGCCTTAGCTGCCTTCACGGAGGCGGCCTTGCCTTTGCTGCAGGTTGCCCCTTGCAGGGGGATAGGAGCAGTTTAATGGTCACTTTGGTACTTGCACCTCCTTGGGCTTTGAAACTGGGATGTGGATAGGCTGAAAAAGGAGCAAAGGGAGTCAGGCCACGGGGAGGCATCCAACCCTTTTGCACAGTCTCTCCTGTGTGCTTTTAAAAATACCGATAGTTGATGTTTGTCCAGTGGTGTTACCAGGCAGATAATTTACTTTTGCAGTGCCAGCTAGTGCCTGTGCACCCTGCAAGCAAAGTGGCTCTGGATCCAGCCATGGGCCCAGAAGCTGGGCCTGCCTGAGCAGCCTTTCCTTCAGGATCAGGGCTATCCCAGCCGTACTGCTTTCCAGGCATGGCATGTATCCCTGGGGAGCATCTCCTGCCACAATGTGCATTGAATGCRAAGTGGTTCTGAGAAAGGTTTTCTATTATTTACTCATAAGGGCTCGCAGGACCACACTTGGATTTTTGTTTGAGAGTGTTCCTAGCCTCTCTTTAGTGTTTGGATGTTGCTGTTTATTTCCCTTAAGGTCAAAGCATTATTTTTTTTTCAAAGAAAAATATCCCCCAAAGGAACCCTCAGTGCTTTCTGTTTCCAYGCAGCCAAAATTGTTCCGGAATGGCTATTGCTTTTTGGTCTTTTTGTTTTGTTTTGGAGTTTGTGTTTTTTGGTTTCATATTTGATTTCAGTACTTGTTTGTGCAATGTGGTATCAGGAGGCTGCCTTTCCTCCCCCACCAAAGGAGAATGCAGCAGAGAAAAAGACTTCCTTTATGATGTGAGTTGAAGCAGAGCTCCCCGGGAGGGTGGTGTTTACACAGCGTAGTAATCTCCTAGTGCTTGGCTCCTGCAACGTCTGCACGCTGCCAGGGATTTGCATTTTTATTTTATTAGTYGGGTTTTGTGAAGTGCTTTAACATCTAATTTTGACTGTATATTGTGAAACTGTCTTCCTGCCTGACTCCCACTGCTGACTTATGCTAGTAGGTGCCTCACCTTCACGTCAAGAACCTTTTCTAGTGCTTTATTTTTCTTTTTGGAGAGCTCCTGCTACCAGCTAGTGTTAACAACAAGTTAAGATTTAGTTATTAGCAACTGTAGCAATTTATCCATTACTGTTTTAAAATTTCTCATTGTTATTTTTTTTCACATGTGGACATTCTCACAGAGCAAGTAGGTTAAACCTGGGCGACAACGTACATATTAGCTCCACTAGAATGTATTCTTCAGATTACACGTTGGCATAACCACTGATGAAAATATTGTGCTAATGTGTTTTGCTTGGCATTTATTTATATTTTTACAACAGTGGTTTGGTGTAGCATGGTTCGTTGTGAACAGGAACAGTCAAGTGAGCAAACCAGCAATATTAATGTGGTAACCAGTGGATTTATTTAGGTTAAAATTGCATCCCTGATTCTTTCCTTTCATTTCACCATGTTCCTTAAAAGCATGTGAATTCCCCCTGTATTTTGGAATGAATTGTGCTATAAARATGTGTGTTCTTTCAGTGTTTGCAAGAGATGTATTCGGAAAATGGACCATCACTGCCCGTGGGTCAATAACTGTGTAGGAGAGAATAACCAGAAGTACTTTGTACTGTTTACAGTAAGTATTTTGCAAGCGGTCGTTGCAGTTGTCCCGTGGGCAGCAAGGCAGCGCYGGGCACAGCTTGCAAAGGGAATCTCCAGGCTGCCTCTCCTTTCCTGTTACACCAAACTTCACAGGGAAGTGCCAGGCACCTCTGTTTCCCTCACTGGGAAGCACACAGCAATAGGGAAAAGGCCTCACAAAAAGTATTGGCCAGCGTTTTGTGAGGTTTGTGCTAGCAGGTGATTTACCAGGTTCCTTCATAACGTGAGAAGGTTTTTGTTGTATTGAGCTCTTGGAGGCATGTGCCGTGCTTTTGTTCTGCTCGGTGGTGTGTCACATCCAGCAGCAGGGCCCTGGTCCCTATCTAGGGTTTTTAAATGCTGTAGCTCATGAATGCCTGTGCGTGGGGCTATGAGACAAGAGCTGTACCTGCTGCCTTGGTGAGGAGGAATAGGAAGTCTCCAGCCTTTCTTTGGCAAGGATTATCTACCTTCTCCTTGCTGATAGCTTATTTGCTTACTCACATATCAGGGAGGTGTGTGAGTTTTTATACCTTAGCTGTGGCAGAGTGAGCAAGAAAGTAGCAGCACAAATTCCAATACTGCCTGTCTGTGGAATGGCTGAAATCTGTATCATCAAAGCCGAGTGCAGATATCCAGTGGGAGCAGCGTGAACATTGCAAGGCTGAGATTCAGTGATATTCTGTTTTATTAATAAATCTTTGGGGAAATTGGTAGGTTCAAAGAACGTTCTCATTACCGAGTTAAAAACAAGGGGTAAACTTCGGGTAAGTGGAAAAACTTACTCCTAAACTTGAGTTTGTTGTGGATTTCAAAATAAAATTAATTTCATTTGTCATCCCCCGAGCAGGGGTCCTTTCACTGTAAAAGAGACCTGGATGCTTCAGTCCTACCAGAAGGGCTTTTGTTTCTCTTAAAGYTAATGCCTGTTTGAGAAAAGCAAAGTTAAGGTTTCTAGTTTTGGTTTTGCTTTCTCTTCCCAAGAGCTGGGGAGATGCAGGTCTCCTCAGTGCTGCACACTGAGGTCGCAAGGAGGAACAAAACAGTTTCCTGYCACGTTTTCCTGCTTTTCCAGGGCTCTCTCTGCTAACACAATCTCTGCTTTCCAGAGAAAAAGAAGCCTGTGCTGACTCTTTCCTTGCAGTCARTAGGTTCAGGGGATTCTTCCTGTTAGTTTTGGATGTGTAAATTGTAGACAGTACATGTAGCACTATGCATAATGTAAAGCTTTTGCTACAATGCTATGATGTAGTGTAAAAAACAGATTAAGTACAAACTGTTAAATCCTGACAGAAACTTTCCATGTGAGTACCTGCCTCAAAAGAAAGATTTATTTTTTAAAAAATCCTATTTCTCACTTGCTCTGCAAATCAGATGAAGTGCTCGTTGTGATTATAACAGCCTGGCTCTTGTTTCCTTGGGCCCAGTTGTGCTGGAGGGGCAGGATCTGAGCGAGCTCCCACACCATCAAACCCGGCCCTGGAGCGTTGCTGCTCCCGGCGGATGTGCTGTATCCAGCAGGAAGGCCTGTGCACCCGCCTTGGGGTGAAGCAGCCCCTCTCCTCTGCCCAGAGCTGCCAGGAGTGCCCGGGAGCCGTGTGTGTGCGGGGCTCCAAGGTGCTCTGTTTTTGGAGTGTCTGAGTATATATATGTATGTGTGTGTGTATATATACATATACGTGTGTGTGTGTGTGCGTGCACAATAAATAATAATRTTTTTTAAATGTCGACTTTGAGTACTTTATTTTAAGATGCTTTATGATTTAGCATTTTGGCTTTAAGCTTTGCCCGCTAGCCGTTCTTTGCCTCCTTTGTTTTTCAGATGTATATAGCACTGATTTCCCTGCATGCTCTAATCATGGTGGGATTTCACTTCTTGTATTGCTTTGAAGAAGACTGGACAAGTGAGTACAAACAAGGGATCTCTTCCAAATACCAGATTAGCCTATGAAGCAGATCTTAGAATGTGCTTTGCTCCTAAGGCCACCCCTTTAATGCTGGTTTCAGAGGGATGCTCTCAGGGCTCTGCTGTGCTAGCTCAAGTTTAAAAATCAGTCCTGGGATTTAATATTTCTGTCCGACCTGCTAGTGTCTCTGTCCTGAAGAGAGAAGTCTTGTTTGAACCAAAGCCTGAGGCTGTCAAGGTAGAAGCTGAGATATAAAGACTCCTAGAGAGCATGTGTGCAGTAATTTACTGTTTACACAAATATTGGACTGATTTCCTGAATGTCAAAGCAAGATAAGAAGAATGTGAATGCCCTTATTAAAAGGGTAACGTGAATCATTCTTGCAAGACTGCCAGGAAGACATGTTAGCTTAGATCCAAAAATTCACCCTCACAAGAACAAACAATTCCTCTTGATTTAAGGGAAAAAAAAAAAAAAGAACATCCCAGCCCTTGCTCTGCAGTGTCCCTCAAGTACATTTTCACAAAGTTGTTCTTTATTTGTTTGTTTTTAAAAGACATAGGAAGCCATCTAGGTAATGTTGAGTGAGACAGCGAGCTGTTGAAAGACGTGTGGACAGGGCTCTGTGTGCTGCTTGCAGATTTTTTTGAAAGAGCTTGATTTTTATTGGAATTTAATTCGGTCGTTCAGCTTATCATAATGACAAGTTTTGGTAAATAATGCCACAGAAGGTGCGTGTGTTTACCCATATGAACTGGTCTTGTGGCAAGGTTATTCTGCAGAAAGGTATCAGGTGCCAAATGACACTGATTTGACTGCCATGGCCAGAGCCTTGTGGAAGGGATTTACCAAAGGARGATGTTTCCTTTGCCCCTTTTTCAGAGCCTGGTTCCTGTGGTTGAAGCTCTTTCCCACTGGCCCCAGATTAAGGTGGCAGAACAGAGGTGGATGTGGCCTTCCTTCTGCTCTGGATCTGTACTGATGGTGTTGGTTCTGATTACTGCATGCCTGTTGAAGTTTAACATCTTCTCACAGTGGGGAAAATACTTTTTTAAGTGATTTCAGAGAAGTCTGGAAAAGTTCTGATGAACCAACGCAACATTTTCTTCCATCTTCTTTTTTTTTGCTCACCCTTTAATGGACGAGCAGACATTTTCAGGTCTCATTGAAGCTTGCCATGAGTTTGCWGTATAGGTAGAGTATGAGAATGATCCCCATTTTAGTTTATTTGTACAATTTGAGTAGGGAAAGCTTGTAGCTTAGATAGCAGCTGTTTTGCAGCTGCCGCATTATCCAGTCTTTCTCCTTCCAACTCCACTGCTTTTTCTTCACAGAATGCAGCTCCTTCTCACCGCCAACTACAGTGATTCTTCTTATCCTCTTGTGTTTTGAGGCTCTCCTCTTCCTCATCTTCACGTCGGTAATGTTTGGGACCCAAGTACACTCCATCTGCACTGATGAAACGGTGGGTGTCTCACGCTCCCCTGCACACTGTCTCTGTTGCCATTTGTAGAAACAGTGAAATGTTACAGGGCTCGAGCTCACTGTGCAGGGGGGTTGTATATGTGGGTGCTGTGGGGAAAAACTGCTTCAACACACTGAGCAAGCACAGTTTAGCTTACAGTGTGCACATCTGTATGTGTAGGCTGGGATGCTGTGTTGGCAGAAACTTTGAAAAGGGGGCACTGGTAAAGGGGTTACCCTCTGTAGAGTATTTGTTCCTGTGGATTGGAGATTTTTCCTTTCCTGGAATGCTGTCAGGCTGGTGTCATTTTCAGTTCTGCTGCAGGTGCCCTGACATCTCTCTCTGCAGCTTTACGTCTTAGGCAGCCAAGTTGAGTGGGAGGATCAGGTGAGGTGGAAGAGGGATTTTTTCCCCCCTGCCCTAAGCCTAGGAAATATCCAGCTTCAGCCACTTGTTAAACAGTTCAAAACCTCTTGCCAAGTAGGGGAAAAAATATCTAGGTGCATGGTAACTTGGTGTGTACATTCTGCTGCAAACCCACATTATCCTCAGTTGAAAGGCAGGAGAGCAGAGGTTACTTGATGTTGAAGTCCTTCATATATCACTGAAATTGCCCCCTTCTGCAAAGATGGAGCCTGTGAMTCCTGGTGACGTTTTCACACTTGTGAATCCTGCTGGCCTTCACCAAGCACGCTCAGACATCTGTGGTAGCTCRCACCAAGAGACAGCAGGGAACTGGAGAGGTTCAAGGGAACGATTGCCCTAAAAGAGGGGCAGCTCCTTTTGCCTCCTTCCTCTTCCATGATTTTTCCTTCCTCTTCACTTGTTTGTGCATGGGCATCTGAAGCTGGAATGTGTATCCTTGTTGCCATAAGAGAGCTAGAAGTGGCACCATGGTGTGTAAGAGCCCATCACTCCTCAGATTTTTTGCAGTACTGGCTTTGATGCTGGGTTCTGCAAGAGGCTGGTGATCACGTTGTGCAGCTCTGCTATGTCCCAAGGAAGATCCCCAGTCATTTTGTTTTCTGTTGGGGAGATTCCCGGGAAGATGTCCGATGCAATACAAAACAACAGGATCCTGCCAAGCTTCAGTTTGTTATCACATAAGTCAACAATGCTATCTGTGAAATCATATCTGAATCTCTCAGTGTTTGAGAGCTTGGCAAGTGTATTTAGAACCTGCTTCCTACAGCCAGRTACCCAGAAAGAGTCCTTTGTGGTTTATTTTTTCCTTCTTTTTCCCTCCACTCAAATGCTGGGTACCCATAGAAGTTATCACCTATGTTACAACCTGAAATTAAAAGGAAATATAGCCCCACCCTGCGTGTGTCTGTGTGGTGGTTTTCCATCTGTTTATTTTTTTAATACCTAAAGGTAGAGATTTTGCTCTTTGGACATTTCTGTGTTGTCCATGACATCTCTTACTTAYGATTTTTAGCTAGCATTGGGCAAGCTATGCCTGGGGTGCAACAAAGTGTTTTGAGTGGAGGAATATTCCTGTGTGAAATTCCCTCCCTTCCCTCCAGAGTGAAATTCCCCCTCCTGTTTTACCTCCTATTCAGAGGGCTGAGCCTTGCCCTTGCTCCCCCTTCCAACCATTGGGAAACCTCCCCATTCTGTGTCTGCCATCCCACGGAGATAGTCCCTTTCTACTGGAAGAGACCCAYGACCCTAGTGCTTGGCTGTCACCCCCGAAGATGACGTTACCAAGCACCTCTTGCTGCTGACCTTGTTTCTGCAGAGCTCTGAGAGTCAGGAATTTGAGAAAGAGATGAATTGCAGAGCGCTAATGTGTAGCGGAGAAGAGATGCAGCTCAGGAGACACYTACCTTCCTAAAGGTCCTAAGTTAAAGAGCAGAACTGCCTGTCTGCTGCTGCTACCTGATAAAGAGCAGTGCTCTCCAGTGACTGCCCTGGTTAATTTTGCTCCTGTGGCAGCTAAATCTAGCTTTCCTGGGAAACCCAATTGGCTAGATGGGTTTTAGATATGATACACTTTTTTTTTTTTTATGGTTTATTTGTTTGAAGTGAGTGAATGTTTCAGCTGATTTGCTTGATGGCTTATTTTTATTCTCCCTCTAACCCTTACTAAACTATGCCAATGATTTCTCTTAAATCGGTGAACATATTTAACCCTTTCTCCCTGCTATCAGCCCATGCATGTTTTGGCAGTGATTTTAATGAAACAAGAAGAGGCACCAGGTAGACTCAGCCACACTGAMCCATGGGCACTTCCTGAACTTGCTTGGTGAATCTGGGAGCATTATAGAGATTATCTTGGGGTTTTTTTTGCCTGCAAGCTTGTAATGGTTTCCTCTGAAACTTTTCCATCTGGTCAGCACATAATTCTTTCAGCCATTAAAACACATTCTTTGTCTTTGGTTTTAGTTGATGGGCTTTTTTTTTTCAATTGATGTGGTAATTGGAGGGCAGGTCATTAAATGTTTGAAATTAAATTTCCAGGCTTGAACAACATGAGAGCAGTTTTATTTCCAGGGAATATTTGCTATCCTTAATATTTTTGTTTTAACATAAAACATTGAAGAGAAAAAGGAGATAGATTTTTGTTTTCTTAACTGCCTTCTTTGGATAAGGGGTAACTGAGAGTAGACATTTCCCCAAATCCAGAAGTACAGAAATTAACTATTTGACTGAAAATGTGATATTTCTGTTTTCAGGGAATAGAACAGTTGAAAAAGGAAGAGAGAAGATGGGCTAAAAAAACAAAATGGATGAACATGAAAGCAGTATTTGGCCATCCGTTCTCTATAGCATGGCTTAGCCCATTCGCAACACCAGACCAAGGAAAAGCAGACCCCTACCAGTATGTGGTCTGAGGATTTCTTGACCAGCATTTCCACTAAACTAGAAATATATTACAGCACTACTGTTATAATTTTTCCATGAATGTTCAAAACAAAGAGCAGAACAAACTTTTTTTTATGTCTATGAGAAATGGCTGATGATTGCAGAGAAAAAAAAAGCCCTGTATTCCACAACTTCAGATAATTCTATATCTCTGGCTGAAACTGCTGCTGCTTCTTTTGCTTTTTTTTTCTCTTTTCCTTTTTTTTTTTTCCTCTTCTTTTTTTTTTCTTTTTTCTTTTTCTTTTTTTTTTAATCATGTTAACTTTACTGGCCTTTGTTTCCGTCTGCTCTCTGTATGGCGTAACTCATGTGAAGGGGATCCTCTTTCTCTGGTGTGACCCACCTCTTCTGAGTCGATTCTCATGCTGTCTCCTGACCGCGAGGAGCTCTGTGGAAGACAAATGAGTGCCAAGTCCTACACAGACACCTTGGGACTCCCTGAAGGAGCACGTTGCTCCCATGTAAACGAACTCGAACTGGGAAGTAGACACTTCACTTACCGAAAGGTGCAAGACAAGAGTGCGACACAGCAAGAGAGCCAGTTGACCTGGTGATCACGTACAGTTAAAGTATTTAAAACAAATGTTGCCAACACCACTTTTTCCACCCCTCCATCCCAACCTGGCCTTTTTGTTTCCAGCCACAGAACTGATTTCATCTTTCTGGCATTTTTTTTTGTCTGTTCCCTCCCTTGTGTGCAGAAAATTGTTGCYCTACGGGGGTAACTGTGGCAGATTTAGATGATCTTCTGGGTTTTAAATGCCTTACACTTGCAGGAAAACAAACAAACAAGAAAGAAATCTACTTTTCAGGTGTTTAGGATAGCAGGAATATCTGTTTGTGTGTGTTTGTCTTGGTAAACGAGTTGTTAGAGCAATGCCTGATCAAAAATTATTAATGTAAAAAATGGATATGAATGCCCAGAGGCAAAGGGAATGAAATAAAAACTAACATTGATGGGTGTGTAGGTGTATCAGGGTGAGTGTATTCTTAGCATTGCCCTGGTTTAGAGTTTTGTAAATCTTTTATTTATGCATACGTGTGTTATGTGACAGGTGCACACACACATGTATGTATCTAAATTGGGAAATAGTGATGGTGTGGAGCATGCATGCTGTCCTGAACAGTGTGGGTACTGCAGTGTGTGCTGCTGAAGGCAGGAGGGACAGAAGGCATTCCAAAAACTGGTGAAGTTCAAAACCATTTGTGATTACAGCCTTGTGTTCAGGCAGGAATTCTGTTATATTTTTGCATCATGACTCTCGTGGGCTTGCAAAATGATCGGAAAAAAAAGGAAAAATATAAATCCACGGTGTCCCCGAGCTCCAAGGAATCTTTTCTTTCCTTGGTTTCAGGTAGAGTGGTATTTTTGGAAAATGACCTGTTTAGACTTATTCAAAGCCATGGGGAAAGGGAGGGGAATCAGGGAAGGAGAAATTGTTGGACGTCTGACTTTGGAAGTAATGTGAATGCTGCATCTTTTCAATCTGTTAATGCTTCCATATGGAAAACAAATGCAATAAAACTTTTCCAAAAAAAATGGTTTGCTCTTATTTTCTTTCCTGACTGGCAAAACCTGTAATGGTGCTCTGAGCTTTCACTTTTATATGCAAGCTGATAGAAGCACATGGCAAGCTTTAACGGTCAAATTTAGGGTTAAAAATGAGTTAACTGCTCTGCTGATGAGCATCRTTACTGCCTTGCATGGAGGTGGCTGCCGCTCTCTGCGTTGGCTGTGTAAATTGAACAGCCCGTGCCCTCCTGCTCGCTCAGGATTAGGTCTGCAAGAGTGTATTGTCACCTCTCTGCTGTACAACTGCACTTAGAGTCACCATATCTGCACATGTGCCTCACWGGGAGGATGCTGCGAAGGAAATGTGGCTCTTGCATACACGTTTTTTCTTTCCTGATGAAGAAAAGATAAGCTGAAGTTTTGTTTTTRTGGTCTGCTGATAGTGATAAGCTATTGTAAATAAATATGTAGCTCTGATTCCCTTGAACATCTCATCTGAACGAGTGGGTGTAGGGTGAGTGTAAAGAGTGATTTGGAGGTCTTCCAAACCTGTCTGGATGCCGCCCTGTGCCTCGTGCTCTGGGTGTCTCTGCTTGGGCGGAGGGGTTGGACTAGATGATCTCTAGAGATCCCTTCCAACCTCAACCATTCTGTGATTCTGTGATTTTAATACATGTATGATACGGTTTTCTTCAGATAATGCTACCAGTTTAACAGCTAAGGGCTGGATCTTTGGACACTATGAGTTACCCGGCAGGGCATGCGCAGATGGTGGCTTGAACTAGAGAAGCATCTGGCCGTCAAGCAATCATGACACAAAATCAGATCACTTTTATTTTTGCTTCACTCACCTAGACAAGAAGCAAGCAAACGGGCCTCTCCATATATTTCACAGCTTTAAAAATGCCTTTGGTTAGTTACTTCTATTGCCTATATATTTTGGAGGAAGATGTGTTGCATTGTTCTAGTGTTCAGATCATTACTGGAAAACAAAGAAGTGTTGTCACTATTTTTTTCTTGTTTCTAACAAATTCGACCTGCTAAGCAGGGTTATATAATATTGATATGCTCAACCCAAGCTGTTTTGGTTTTAAATGGTCTTTTCACAGCTTGTAAAAGTACCTATTGTTGTCTGTCTTTTATATATGCCTTCGTGTGTCTTGGTTCCCTGGGGTTCTCCATCTTACTTGCACCAACCAGTCTGGTGGTGCAATTTGGTGCAAGAATCAGCTGATTTTCCTAAGGAAAAGGGGKTTTTTTTGATTCTTTTTCTTGAGCAGCATTACCTTATTTCAGGTGCTTGTCCTTTTTTAGCGTGGCCAAGATCAGGTGATCAACTGAACGTTTGGTATCGGGACAACTTGATAAAGGTTGTCATGGATTCTGCATCAAAGCGGCAGTTGCTACATCATGGCCACGGCTTTGGTCTTTTCAGGAAACTTAAGCAGGAATGAATTTAAGGAACTCCTAGGCCTCAGGTTTTGTGAGGCCAGGAGCTCTCCTCTCGAAGTCTGCCTCAATCGTAGTTTCAAACAGCAGTACTCGCTGTGTCTTAGCCTTAATTCACACACTGTTACAAGGCTGCATGCTGTGTTTGCTGTGTTTGAAGTGTCAACCACCTTGAGAGAACCTCACCTCCCTCCTCTGACGCACGAGAGCTGTGCGGCCTCCCGGCCCCCTTGGCTCGGGCCCTCCCATCCCTCCTGGCTTCCTCTCTCTGACAGTGCACAAGGGTGAGCAAGAGTGTAAGAAACCGRGCAAGACAACTCTAGGATTGTTTAGGTAATGATCAAGTAAAACAGAGAGTTGTTCTTCCTCCCTCTTCTGCCTTGCTCCTTCTTCCCCATCCTCCCTCTTCTCTGTGGGGCGAGTAGACAAAATTAGCACAGGATACAATTTTTAATAAAATTGTAGAAGAATTATAAGAAAATTCTTCTCGCAACTGAAAACTGTAAGAAAATTTCCAGCTTGTTTTGAGTACAGGCCCTGAGGTGAGATGAGGAGAGGGAAAATCCGACCCGTCCAGGCTGGATAACAGCCCTGCAGTCCACGTGAGTGTGGCCTCACACTGACCTCGCTTATTGCCTCCATTAGCAGGTTGCTGCTCAGAGCGGGGCGAGCAGCCTTGGTTTGGGGGAGGAAAGGATGGGTTTTCTACCCAGAAACATTAAGGATTCTTGTTCCTAGTCCAAGTGGCAACAATGACTGGGTTGGATACCGTGTGAGAATGAGGGAAGGTTTCAAGCTCGTGCTGCCTGGCAGGAGTTTAAAAGCTTGCTGTGCTTCTCCTCCTGCCCTGCGCTGCTTGATTTTCCTCCCTCACACAACATACACTGCAGCCATGGGGATGGTTTCCTCCAAACATACAGGATATTGTCCAGTTTTTATTAAAGAACAGCTGAGCCCGCCTTGCTGCTGTGCCATAGGCAGCCACAGCACCCACCTGCTGCTGCCTGCACAGGGCCGTGCGTGCTGTGCACAGCACAAGGGTTTTTCCTTGGAATCTTCCCTGGAATGTATCCATGTGGTCAGAACTGCACTTACAATCTGCAAGGTGAACACTGTGCTTTGGGGCCCGATTTTTGTCRGAATTGCCAACCTGGAAGACTGGAGTTTTGATCCTGCGTAATTTCTCATTCTCCAGGTTCACTGCTGTGTTTCTCCAGAGTCAGCAGGAGAAATGTGGCGTGAATGAAGTTTGCAAAAGCTTTGCATTTACTTTCGCYGTTTATGGTGTTTTCTTTTCCTCCTGGGCCTGCTTATGTTCACTCAGTATCATTGCAAAACCGAGCTGCTGTTACATTAATATGTGTTATTTATCAGGCCTACTGCGAGTGCATGTGGGGTGCTGCTGAGTTACTGCATGTATTCATTTTTTCCCTGCAAAGTTTTCAAATTACTTGTGGGTAATTAGAGAAAATCTGCAGATTTAARACATAATGAAGTGTAATTTTTCATCCTGCTGTTATAAAACTGCTGTTTTAAATGATTTTAACTGAACGTGCTTGTTTTTCCTTTTCTCAAGTGTCCCAAAACTTTCCTCCAGTTTTCCTGCTTTGTTAAGGACAGAATTTCTACTTTATCTTTGCATTACTGTGGACAGTATAATACTCAGCTATAGATCTGACTCCTCTCCCTTGTGATGCCAAAGATGTGTGTAAAAAAAATGTGTTTGTTTTAGATACCAGTAACCTTAAAAATGTTCATAGTCCCATATTTCTATGTGGAAGAGACTACCAGGAAAAAAAGTCACTGCCAAAACTCAAGGGACCTGATATTTGAAGTAAAATGAAAATGTTTGTTTTAGTAAGGGGATGCTCTTAGAAAGAGAATGTATCGGAATATTGACCGACGAAGGTCAAGGGAAAATGTTGAGTCCTGGTTTGAGGTTTCCACTTCGGTCCGTATGTATTTCTTCTTACCCCCGTGGGTATCAGGTTTGCATTTTGGTTTTTCGTTAAGAGACAGAAATGGATTTTTTTTTCTTCTTTTTCAATATTTGCCTCTTAATTGGTGCAAACTTAACTTGCTCTTATGTCGACTTCTAGTGAGGAGCCTATGCCTGGCTACAGTAAGTCAGTGATGACTGGAAAACACTGCAGTATTTTGCTTGAGTCAGCTACTGTAGAAATGAGCAAATAAGGTGACATTTTAAATGATATTATTATATTATCACTATTATATTATCAGTAATATTTTACTGATCGGTGGGACTCAAAAAGCATTGAGAGAAGAGCGACAAGTTTCAGAGGGGAAATTGGTCCTTAGCTAAACCTTGAGCACCAGCCCAGCTGTAGAAACACAGTTTTGCACCAGCTGCAGCAACTGCTGCACAAACACCTGCTTTAAGCGTGAAACAACCSCAGACTCTTCTCTTCTTGCAGGGTATTGAGCGTCTTAAAAATCAGAAGCCGACTTGGGAAAGGATCAGCGGCTGGCAAGGAATGAAGGTGGCCTTCGGTGGTGCTTTCTCCCTGAGTTGGTTCAGTCCTTTTTCAAACCTGGACTGCAAAAACCCGCCTTCACCTGAAGCAGCAGCAGCCCCTGCGTCTGAGATTATGACCCAAGAAGAAATCGAGCAATTTCTGGCTCAAGACGTTGAGGTCCAAGTGTTACGGGAATAAGCAAAGCATCTTCCAAGACGTCGAGAGATGCTTTCAGCTTCTTTTTTTTTTTAATAACTTTGTGGTGAAGATTTAGGGGATTTTTAAGTGAGGGAAAAGAAAATCAGGAGTATTTATCCAGAAGCCGGGTACACATTTGCAGAAGCAATGCAAATCTCCAGAGAAAGCTTTRTGGATGATATGATTCATAAGCTCCTTTTTCATTGCTTTATCAAGCTTTTATTTTGTGGCCTTAAAAGAAAGTCTATAATTGTTGGACAGATTGGTTCCAGCTGCCAGAAATGTGCAATGACAGAGACCTTGTTTCTCTTTCGTTCCTGTAACCTTTCAGAGGACTAAAAAAAAAGRCCAGATTAGTCCATCTCTTAAGGGTTTTTGAAAAAAGGCCTACTTTTCTTAGCTCTTCATGTGGATGCTGTCTCTGGGTTATGAGTTGTCTGGCTTAAGAGTGTCAGACCTGGACAGGAGTGAGAAGGAGCTTAGCCTAGGTGCAGTTCCCTTGTTTAGGCTCTGAAATATCCCTACGGATAACTTAATCCACTGACCGTGAGCCTTGGGCTGCATAGGACCTTTCTTTTTTTTTTTTTTTTTTGGTTATTTTACTGGTACTTGACATTTTTCAGGGTTTCCTTAGGCTAATTTTGCAAGCAGCTCATGGTAAACAGTGACTCCCTTTCCTGGTGCCATAGCTCTTCGGAGCAGCTCCTTGCTTATGAGGGTTGAAGGTGACGATGTGACGAGAGCGCGTGCCTTGCCTGGGGGACACGGGGATTGCTGCGGATTGCGGTGACACTGCGTAAAAAGATGGTACTGCCTGTGGCCTGGGAAAAGCTGCAGAGGTTCTGCATATTCCAGACGCTGTAGTTTTGACTTTCTTTCTTTTTCATTCTTTTCTTCTTTCTCTCTTTCTCTTTCTCTTTCTCTTTCTCTTTCTCTTTCTCTTTCTCTTTCTCTTTCTCTTTCTCTCTTTCTCTTTTTTCTCTCTTTCTCTTCTTTCTCTCTTTCCTTCTTTCTCTCTTTTTCTTCTTTCTCTCTTTCCTTCTTTCTCTCCTTCCTTCCTTCCTTCCTTCCTTCCTTCCTTCCTTCCTTCCTTCCTTCCTTCCTTCCTTCCTTCCTTCCTTCCTTCCTTCCTTCCTTCCTTCC